AGTACATATAGATTTAGAATAGTAGTTATATTTTAATAATCGAAATACCAAAAAATCGGACAAAAAATTGAGCCGAACCGAAACCCGATATCCGGATTGAACACCTATAATCCGAATGAAACCGAACTATTGTTTCATTTTTCAAAACATAATAAAAATAATAGTTTCATCCCGCGCAAGGCGCGGGTCTTATCCTAGTACTAATTATAAAAGACAAGCACATGCTAATAATTTTTTAATCTTGACTTTCATCGTCCTTTATAAAAAACAAGAAGAGTGTTATAATGTAGTTGTTAGCAAATGGAAGGCAAGCAAGAGAAAATGGAGCAGGAAATGGAATCTTGGTCCGAAGAAGATATAACCTCCCGATGTGAAGCCACTGGTTCAGACGATAGTGAGGACTACGTCGAGATCACTCTCGACATTCGAGAAGATAGCATAGATCAATCTGTGTTACTAAGGATGTACAAGACAACCTTACAGTGTTAGTAACTTTAACAAATTTATGGAGATATGACACCAAACGCTAAAGATATCAACTCATTAGAGAGTAGAAAACCATCTGGATCTCTCAGCCTAAGGTACCTAACATGATCTTCAATCTTCACTTCATCATCACCAACTAACTTTTTGAATTCATCACTCATCACTTCTCTTCTCATATCATCCAAACAAACAATATGCCCACTCTCCACATAAGGCTCATAAACCTTACAAATCGAATTCACTACCTTTCTCCCAAAAGCCTCTCCAAACTCCTTAACTTCAAGCCCTTTAGATGTTCTGAAAGACAGCATTATAATGTCTGTCGCCACATCCTTGAGATCAACATTACCATCTCCACACCAGTTTGCTGCGCCGTTCTCCAAGTCGGCCACGTAGTTTGTGTATTCCTTAAGCCTCCTTGGCCTTGAAAACCTTAACCCTCCAACGTAACTGGCTGAACCTAAACCAAATGCATAGAAGGGCTTGTTCCCCCAGTATATCAAGTTGTGTTTGCACTTGAACCCTTCGTCTTTCGAGTAGCTGCTGACTTCATAATGCTCATAACCTGCACCACGGAGCATTGATGACGCTGTTTTGTAAAACTCTGCTGATTGTGTTTCTGAAGGCAGAGGAGACTTCCCGGGAGTGTACCTACACAAGTTCATTACTATTCAGATTACATCAAACAAAAAATCCGAAATTAACCGAATTTATCCAAAATTTTAACAAAATTAAACCGAAATCTTAACCAAAATCAAAAACTTTGGTAGGATTTTTAAGAAACTGAACTGATCACATACCAAAGTTCAGTAAGATTTTTGTTGAACCGAACTAACCAAAAATCAAACTACCCGAACCGAATAATCAGAACTAACCTAACCGGCACCGTCAAAATCTAGAAGCAAAGATTGATTATACGTACACATTTCCAAACTTAGTGCCTTGCTCCACTTGCAAATCATACACAGAGACATGACTAGGCTGAGATTCAATAGCCAATCTCAAACTCTCTTCCCACATCTCCAACGTCTGGTGAGGCAAAGAAGATATAAGATCCATACTCCAATTCTCAACTCCACATGCCCTAACAATCTCTATCGCCTCATACACTTCAGTGACACCGTGAGCTCTACCACAAGCTTTCAAAAGCTCTTCTTGAAACGCTTGAACACCTAAAGACACTCTATTCACTCCCAAATCCATCAACTCCTTCAGCTTCTCCCCACCAAACGTTCCAGGATCCATCTCCATTGATATCTCAGCGTCAGGACACAACCCGAAACGTGAACTCAACGTTTCGAGAACCAAGGACACAAGCTTTGGAGGGACGAGAGAAGGTGTGCCTCCACCGAAAAACACTGTCTTTAGATTTGGGTTTGTGTCAAAACATGTTCTTGTCGCGTTTATTTCTCTGACGAGTAAGTTCACGTAGTTTGTGATACGTGGGTCGTCTTCTTGTTTTTCCTCGTAGGGAGCGTTAGAAACAGAGGAGCCTAGAGCTAAGATGGGGAAGTCGCAGTAGTGGCAGCGTTTGCGGCAGAAGGGGAGATGAACGTAGGCTGAAGTTGGAGGGCCTTGGTGTAAGGTTGTTAAATTGGTTGAGGCATTTCGTCGAGCACTTGGTGGAGTGTCTTCAAGAATGACGTTGAAAGCTTTGAAAATTAACCTCGAGGTTCTGGGTTTACTTGTAAAGGACGAGAAGATTGGGGAAGTCGTTGTTCTGAGCATGGTTTATACCAGAGGAGGAGAGAAAATGAGAAAGAGAGAAGATGAAGAAGCTTCAAAGGATCAAAGTTCAATGGTGTGTCGTCTATATGCTTTAAAACGTCGTCGTTTTAGTCAGAAGTTAAGGAAAATGAGATTTTATAACCAACCGATTTTAGATATAAACCGGATTATCGGTTCGGTTCGGTGGTGTGAAAAAACGTCCACGATAAAAATCCACTCGTCCTAGGTCTGTTTCTGCATTGCTCCAAGGTTTTTGTCTATGAAAGACACGAGTAGGATCAAAGAAAGACACGAGTGAAACAAATGTGATGAATAAAAATCGTGGACGTTGAAACAAATGTGATGAATAATCTATTAACTCATTATACGAAAACATGATCAAAGAAAGACACGAGTAGGATCATTCCCTTACAAAGGGACAAAAGGACCGACCAAGCTCATTCTCACTGAGTAACAAGAAAAATGTATTACAACTGAATCTGTATTCGTAAAGATCATTCCCTTAGCCATTTTGCTAGAACTGAAAAAAGAGTTTATCATACATTAATACAAATATATAATATGGTTATAAAATTTTAAACAAAACTAAAGAGTATAAGCTTTGGTATAGAGCATTTAACAAAAAAATCAAATTTTCGTAGGGGTTGGTTAACCCACAGATTTTGAAAAAATTCAAAAAAATTAAAATTCGGTTTTAATGCATAGTTGCATCGTTCACTGCCATATGATAATGGTCAAAGAAATTTTTGTTTGAGACCTTAAATTAAATAGGTTTGAGACCTTAAATGTTTTCGTTTCTCCAGAAAATTGGATTTTTATTGGGGTTAAAATCCACATATTAAGAGGTATATGAATGTTAAATAAATTAATCATTGGAAAATTTGAAATGATTCACATGTACCATAAAGATAAGTTTAGAAAACATATAAAAAAATTTGGAATGCATTTAGATATTTTTTTAAACAACACAAATGATGGTAAATAGCATATATAGTATTTAACGAAAAATTCAGTTTTTTCATAGGGGATTAGCCCACATATTTCAGAATAAACTATAAAATATTGTATTTTTTTTAAATGCATAGCTGCATCATACAATGACATAATATGAATATTAAATAGGTTTGAGACCTTAATGTTTCCGTTTCTCCAGAAAATAGGATTTTTATTAGGGATAATCCACATATTAAGTGGTATATGAATGTTATATAAATTAATTATTGAAAAATTAGAAATGATTCACATGTACCATAAAGATAAGTTTAGAAAATATATATAAAAATTTGGAGTGCGTTTAGGTGTTTTTTAAATAGCACGAAAGATGGTAAATAGTATATATATTATTTAAGGGAAAATTCAGTTTTTTCGTAGGGGTTAGCTCATATATTTCAAGAAAAATTATCAAAAATCGAATTTTTGTTTTAATGCATAGTTGCATTATACACCGCCATATTATGAAAATTAAATAGGTTCGAGACCTTAAATTTTTCTGTTTCTCGAGAAAATATGACTTTTATAGGGGTTAATCCACATATTAAGTGGTATATGAATGTTAAATAAGTTAATCATTGGAAAATTAGAAATGATTCCCATGTACCCTAAAGATAAGTTTAGCAAACATATATAAAAATTTGGAGTGCGTTTTTAGGTATTTTTTAAACAACACGAATGATGGTAAATAGTATATATAGTATTTAAGGAAAAAATCAGCATTTTCATAGAAACACCCACATATTTCATGAAAAATTATAAAAAATAGAAATTTTCTTTTAATGCATAGCTGCATCATACACCGACATAGTATGAATATAAAATAGGTTTGAGACCTTAAATGTTTCTGTTTCTCCAAAAAATATGATTTTTATTGGGGTTAATCCACATATTAAGTGGTATATGAATGTTAAATAAATAAATTAATGGAAAATTTGAAATGGTTCACATGTGCCATAAATATAAGTTTAGCAGACATATATAAAAATTCGGAGTGCGTTTAGGTATTTTTTAAGCAACACGAAAGATGGTAAATAGTATATATAGTATTTAACAGAAAAATCAGCTTTTCGTAGGGGTTAGACCACATATTTCAAAATAAATTATAAAAAATTGAATTTTTATTTTAATGCATAGCTGCATCATACACCACTATAGTATGAAAATTAAATAGGTTCGAGACCTTAAATGTTCCCGTCTCTTCAGAAAATAGAATTTTTATAGGGGTTAATCCATATATTAAGTGGTATATGAATGTTAAGTAAGTTAATCATTGGAAAATTAGAAATGATTCCCATGTACCCTAAAGATAAGTTTAGCAAACATATATAAGTTTGGAGTGCATTTAGGTATTTTTAAACAACACGAAAGATGCTAAACAACATATATAGTTTTTAATGGAAATTCAGCTTTTTCATAGGGGCATCCCGCATATTTCATGAAAAATTATAAAAAATGGAATTTTTGTTTTAATGCATAGCTGCATCATACACCGACATAGTATGAATATTAAATAGGTTTGAGACCCTATATGTTTCTATTTCTCCAGAAAATATGATTTTTTATTGGGGTTAATCCACATATTAAGTGGTATATGAATGTTAAATAAATTAATAATTGGAAAANCCTATATGTTTCTATTTCTCCAGAAAATATGATTTTTTATTGGGGTTAATCCACATATTAAGTGGTATATGAATGTTAAATAAATTAATAATTGGAAAATTTGAAATGATTCACATGTACCCTAAAGATAAGTTTAGCAAACATATATAAATTTGGAGTGCGTTTAGGTATTTTTAAACAACACGAAAGATGCTAAACAGTATATATAGTTTTTAATGGAAAATTCAGCTTTTTCATAGGGGTTAGCCCACATATTTCATGAAAAATTATAAATAATGAAATTTTTGTTTTAATGCATAGCTGCATCATACACCGACATAGTATGAATATTAAATAGGTTTGAGACCTTAAATGTTTCTATTTCTGCAGAAAATATGATTTTTATTGGGTTTAATCCACATATTAAGTGGTATATGAATGTTAAATAAATTAATCATTGGAAAATTAGAAATGATTCATATGACCATAAGGATAAGTTTAGCAAACATATATAAAAATTTGTAGTGCGTTTTTAGGTATTTTTTAAACAACAAGAAAATTGGTAAATAGTATATATATAGTATTTAACAGAAAATTCAGCTTTTTCATAGGGGTTAGCCCACATAATTCATGAAAAATTATAAAAAATATAATTATTCTTTTAATGCATATCTGCATCATACACAGACATAGTATGAATAGTAAATAGGTTTGAAACCTTAAATGTTTATATTTCTCCAAAAAATAAGATTTTTATTGGGGTTAATCCACATATTAAGTGGTATATGAATGTTAAATAAATTAATCAATGGAAAATTTGAAATGGTTCACATGTGCCATAAATATAAGTTTAGCAGACATATATAAAAATTTGGAGTGCGTTTAGGTATTTTTTAAGCAACACGAAAGATGGTAAATAGTATATATAGTATTTAACAGAAAATCAGCTTTTCGTAGGGGTTAGACCACATATTTCAAAATAAATTATAAAAAATTGATTTTTTATTTTAATGCATAGCTGCATCATTCACCACTATAGTATGAAAATTAAATAGGTTCGAGACCTTAAATGTTCCCGTCTCTTCAGAAAATAGAATTTTTATAGGGGTTAATCCATATATTAAGTGGTATATGAATGTTAAGGAAGTTAATCATTGGAAAATTAGAAATGATTCCCATGTACCCTAAAGATAAGTTTAGCAAACATATATAAGTTTGGAGTGCATTTAGCTATTTTTAAACAACACGAAAGATGCTAAACAATATATATAGTTTTTAATGGAAATTCAGCTTTTTCATAGGGGCTAGCCCGCATATTTCATGAAAAATTATAAAAAATGGAATTTTTGTTTTAATGCATAGCTGCATCATACACCGACATAGTATGAATATTAAATAGGTTTGAGACCCTATATGTTTCTATTTCTCCAGAAAATATGATTTTTTATTGGGGTTAATCCACATATTAAGTGGTATATGAATGTTAAATAAATTAATAATTGGAAAANCCTATATGTTTCTATTTCTCCAGAAAATATGATTTTTTATTGGGGTTAATCCACATATTAAGTGGTATATGAATGTTAAATAAATTAATAATTGGAAAATTTGAAATGATTCACATGTACCCTAAAGATAAGTTTAGCAAACATATATAAATTTGGAGTGCGTTTAGGTATTTTTAAACAACACGAAAGATGCTAAACAATATATATAGTTTTTAATGGAAAATTCAGCTTTTTCATAGGGGTTAGCCCACATATTTCATGAAAAATTATAAATAATGAAATTTTTGTTTTAATGCATACCTGCATCATACACCGACATAGTATGAATATTAAATAGGTTTGAGACCTTAAATGTTTCTATTTCTGCAGAAAATATGATTTTTATTGGGGTTAATCCACATATTAAGTGGTATATGAATGTTAAATAAATTAATCATTGGAAAATTTGAAATGATTCACATGTACCACAAAGTTAAGTTTGGCAAACATAAATAAAATTTGGCGTGCGTGTAGGTATTTTTTAAACAACAAGAAAATTGGAAATAGTAAATATAGTATTTAACGAAAAATTCAGCTTTTTCATAGAGGTTAGCCCACATAATTCATGAAAAATTCTAAAAAATATAAATTTTCTTTTATTGCATAGCTGCATCATACACAGACATAGTATGAATATAAAATAGGTTTGAGACCTTAAATGTTTCTGTTTCTCCAGAAAATATGATTTTTATTGGGGTTAATGCACATATTAAGTGGTATATGAATGTTAAATAAATTAATCATTGGAAAATTTGAAATGATTCACATGTACCATGAAGATAAGTTTAGCAAACATAAATAAAATTTTGGAGTGCGTTTAGGTATTTTTTAAACAACACGAATGATGGTAAATAGTAT